ATTGTATTTTACCTATCTATTTTATGTTCTTATCTATTTGGTTTTAAGGCTATTATAGTGGCTTTTTAGTAACAACCAAGGCCAGTATTCTTACTTTTATTTTATATTTATTCTTTCCCATATTTCCTTATAATCTTTTTAGCTGTCTTTTTAAACAGTTATTTTAATATTTTGGTTTAATAGCCCCTCCCCCCCACCCCCCGTTTTTATTCCCTATATTGGTCTTTTCTTTTTATATAGGTTGCTATATTTTTAAACTACATGCCCCATAAGTCATTGCGGCTACACTTCCGGAAGTGCCGCACATTTTACAGCTTTCCCGACCTCGTTTTTATGTTACTTTCATTTCATGTGACTTGTCTTACAAACAATAATCTTACACATTGCTCAAATGTTTAGTCTTTTTCTTTAGCTCCTGTTATTAGATCGCCGTATGGGGAACTACAGTACCCATAAGGCCGTGTGGCTATACTCCCGAAAACCGGAAGTGCCGATTATCACATGACTAATTGTGTTTCTAATTTTATAACCCTTCTTACCTTCGTTTTTAATAAAAAAACACTGAATATGCTTCACTAACCTATTTACTATCTGTAAATAATCTAATATTGTTAATTTGAGATGTAAAAAAGTATCTTTATTCTGATTGGCTGAAATTTTTTGGCGCCAATTTTAAATTGAACTATGTCTATATAAACACTATCTGCCAGATATTGTATTGTATTCCATTTGATAACGTTTGTAAGACGAAACGCGTTATGGAAATATAATTTTGTATAATAAATATTAAATTTTTGGTTACTTGATAGTCCCAACTACCTTTATTTATACATTTACCCTGGCTATTTATATATATCTTTTTAGTTAATTGTTATATTTTATATACATTTTATTCTGATTTTAATATCACCTCTACAAGTTCCTGGCAATCAAAGAAATCCTAGGTGGGGATTATTCCACCAGCGCTGGCATCAAAGAGCAGTTGATGCCAGCGCTGAAATTTCATGAAATTTGGACATTTGTATGCTCACAAATGTCCGAATTGCCAAATTTCCAAAGTGTCGAAGTCTGAATTTCGGAAGTGCTGAACCGAATTGAGGAAGTGCCAAATTGCTGAAGTGCAGAATTTTGGAAGTGCCGAATTTCAAGTGTAAGTGGTTGTGGTGGTTAGGGGTTAGTGCTTAGGGTTAGGAGTATGGGTTAGGGGGGCCTACAGATGTGTAAGTGGTTGTGGTGGCAAAGTGCTTCGGATTTCTGAAAAGTTGCGCATTGTCCGAATGGCCAAAGTCCTGAATTGCTGAAGTTCCAAATTTCAGAAGTACTGAATCGAATTGCCAAAGTTCCGAATTCCGGAAGTGCCAAACCAACTTTCCGAACAGAACCAAACCAATTTTTTTTGACCATGCACATCCCTAACAATCTCCAACCTTCCTCCGCGGTAACAACTTGTGTCACGATGCTGTTTCTACGGATTAATAGGTGAATCGAGTAACCCCATCTGTATTGGATATTATTTTATCTGAGCAGGTTGGTAATTTCCTTGAATTCCTGTGGTAGCGGAGAGGTCCGGGAACAGCTTGATGGATCTGTATTTTTGAGGAAGATCTCTGGCATTTCTCGTTGCCTGCAAAATGGCTTCTTTAACGTAGAAGTAGCGTAGATGTGTAAGCATGTCCCTAGGTGCTTCCTGGTGTAGGAATCTGTGTTTCGGCACCCTATGATACCTATCCAGCAGAAGTACATATGCAGGCAGGTCTGATACCACGGTTTTGAAGTATCCCACTAGGGATGCATGCAGTTTTGGTTGACTCATACCATTTACATAGTTACATAGTTACATAATTACATAGCTGAAAAGAGACCTGCGTCCATCAAGATCAGCCTTCCTCACATATGTTTTTACTGTTGATCCAAAAGAAGGCAAAAAAACCTAGACTGTAGCGCTTTCAATTTTGCAACAAACTTGGAAAAAATTCCTTCCTGACCCCAAAATAGCAGTCAGATGTCTCAATGGATCAAGCAGCTATTACCCCACTAATTAGAAATGATATCCCTGTATGTTATGTTTTTGCAAGTATTTATCCAATTTCAGTTTAAACATCTGTATGGACTCTGATAAAACCACCTCTTCAGGCAGAGAATTCCATATCCTTATTACTCTGACTGTAAAACAACCTTTTCTTTGCCTTAGATGAAATCTCCTTTCTTCCAGCCTAAATGTGTGACCTTGTGTCCTATGTATAGCCCTGTTTATGAATAGATTTCCAGATAATGGTTTGTACTGGCCCCGAATATATATTTGTATAATGTTATCATATCCCCTATGAGGCGCCGTTTTTCCAAACTAAAAAGATTTAAATTTTTTAATCTTTCTTCATAGCTAAAATGCTCCATTCCTTTTATCAATTTTGTAGCTCATCTCTTTTTTTTCTAGTGCCATGATATCCTTATCCACAATCTGGTATAGTGTTTTGTTTAGACTTTTATTTTTTGATTTACCATGATCATTTTTCCTGTTTATGTATTCTAGTTGAGATTACTAACAGATACTATTTTAATTAATACCATAAATGGTATGTTTTAAACAATTACATTTTGTAAGGCAAACATCTCTATCAATATCCTATATTTAGGGTTACCCCCTCTCTTTACCTTATGATTGAAGATCATTTCAGGTTCCAATCCTGTCCCTTTCCCCCCTTTTTTACCGAACAGTATTAGGACATTCACAGTTAAAATGTCATGCAGAACTAAAAAAATAACAAAATGTCTTAATTTCTCAATTTTTTTTGATATTTTATTCATATTAAATTATGTTTCATAGCTAAATATTTGATGTTAAACGAAAGCCCTATTTCTCCTGAATAAAATAATATATAATAAGTGTGGGTGCACTTAATATGAAAGAGGTGAATTATGGTTGAACAGGCATATAGTCAAATTCCAAGTTTTGTTTATGTTTTATTTTGATCAAAATGTGTACATTTGGCTCAGTCCTTAACCACTTAACCCCTTAAGGACTGAGCCAAATGTACACATTGTGAACAAAACAAAACTTAAACAAAACCTGGCATTTGCGCTACATGTTTGTCCAACCGTAATTCACCTCTTTCATATTAAATGCACCCACCCTTATTATATATAATTGTATTCAAGGTAAACATGGCTTTAATTTAATATCAAATATTTAGCTATGAAACATAATTTAATATGAAACAAATGGGAGAAAATAAGAATTTTTTTTATTTTTTTTAGTTCTACCTGACATTTTAACTGTCAATGTCATTATACTGTTTGCTTTTACTGCAATAAAATACACATATTTGTATTCAGCAAAGTCTCACGTGTAAAACAGTAACCCCTATGTACAGGTTTTATGGCGTTTTGGGAAGTTACAGGGTCAAAAATAGCATGTTACATTTTAAATTGAAATTCGCCAGATTGGTTACGTTGCCTTTGGGACTGTATAGTAGCCCAGGAATAAAATTTACACCCATAATGGCATACCATTTGCAATAGTAGACAACCCAAGGTATTGCAAATGGGGTATGTCCAGTCTTTTTTAGTAGTCATTTGGTCACAAACACTGGCCAAAGTTAGCGTTAGTATTTGTTTGTGTGTGAAAAATGCAAAAAACACCAATTTTGGCCAGTGTTTGGGACTAAGTGGCTACTAAAAAAGACTGGACATACCCCGTTTGAAATACCTTGGGTTGTATAATATTGCAAATGGTATGCCATCATAGGGGTAATTTTCATTCTTGGGCTACCATTGGGTCTCAACGGCAATGTAACCAATCTTGCGAATTTTAATGTGAAAAAAATGAAACACAAGCCTTATATTTGACGCTGTAACGTTTGAAAACATCATAAAACCTGTACATGAGGGGTACTGTTGTACTCGGGAGACTTTGCTGAACACAAATATTTGTGTTTCAAAACAGTAAAAAAATCACAGCAAAAATATTGTCCGTGTAAGTGCTGTTTGTGCGTGAAAAATGCAAAAAAAGTCACTTTTACTGTCGATATCATCGTTGTAATACATTTTACTGTTTTGAAACACTAATATTTGTGTTCAGCGAAGTCTCCCGAGTAGAACAGTACCCCCCATGTACAGGTTTTATGGTGTCTTGGAAAGTTATAGGGTTAAATATTGTGCTAGCAAATTAAATTCCCTTTACTTTCGGCATGGGCTGTCAGGCAGGTCCCTCTGATTGTAATTAATTAAGATACCTAATTATGTAAAAATATTATATAAATATATATGTAGAATTAATATATATATATATATATATATATATATATATATACCAATAGCGAAGGCTTGCACTCCTGGTGTAATCCTGTGGTGCCCGGTGCTGGTCTGGCAAGGATCATGTAGACATAGCAGAAATGACCGCACTCCAAGGACTTTATAGAGATTTTCAAATAAAATTTAGCTTTTATTCAATCCATTTAAAAAGTCAACGTTTCAGCTCCCACATGGAGCTTTCATCAGGACAAAACATAACTTACAAGTGCAGACACAAAGAAATATATACCCCCAATCCCTCAAAATAATTTACCATAGTTGTGTACTCACCTAGCCATGAGACAGCTTGCCCTGCATTAGAGAGTAATGTAACTCTGAGTGTGGTTGGCATGTGTGCAAGGCCCAGAAAAGGGGCGGGGCAACAGGTTACTAAGTAACAATCCAACTGGACTGGTTGCTTTCCACTTTGTGTCCTAGTAGCTACAATCATGATTGAGCTCAGGGTAAAGTAGGAGTGGATACAGAGTCTAGAATGTTTCAAAAATGAATCTGACTGTCTTCATATAGTTTAAACAGTATAACAGGCTGGAAGGGCCATCAGGAATCCAAAATCTGTTATCATACTGGAAATTCACTCTTTGAGTGCTGGAGCAATTCATCCAATGCAGCACTGAAAGGGTGTATCTGTTCCTGTGTAACTGAGGAAAGAGCTGAACTATAAGTCTATTCTTAAACTTGTAGCAAATAGGGTGGGCATATCTCATGGTTTGGATCTAAAAAACACATTTAATATAGACATACATGATTTTAAAAATAAAAATAAAAACAACAGCTCAATGCAGGATCCGAACCATGAGATATGCCCACCCTATTTGCTACAAGTTTAAGAATAGACTTATAGTTCAGCTCTTTCCTCAGTTACACAGGAACAGATACACCCTTTCAGTGCTGCATTGGATGAATTGCTCCAGCACTCAAAGAGTGAATTTCCAGTATGATAACAGATTTTGGATTCCTGATGGCCCTTCCAGCCTGTTATACTGTTTAAACTATATGAAGACAGTCAGATTCATTTTTGAAACATTCTAGACTCTGTATCCACTCCTACTTTACCCTGAGCTCAATCATGATTGTATCTACTAGGACACAAAGTGGAAAGCAACCAGTCCAGTTGGATTGTTACTTAGTAACCTGTAGCCCCGCCCCTTTTCTGGGCCTAGCACACATGGCCACCACACTCAGAGTTACATTACTCTCTAATGCAGGGCAAGCTGTCTCATGGCTAGGTGAGTACACAACTATTATTTTGAGGGATTGGGGGTATATATTTCTTTGTGTCTGCACTTGTAAGTTATGTTTTGTCCTGATGAAAGCTCCATGTGGGAGCTGGAACGTTGACTTTTTAAATGGATTGAATAAAAGCTAAATTTTATTTGAAAATCTCTATAAAGTCCTTGCAGTGCGGTCATTTCTGCTATGTCTATATATATATATACCTATGTATATATACGTATATATATATATATATATATATTTTTTTTTTTTTTAAATATTTTTATTTATATATAGGTATATATATAGAGTTATATATACGTATATATTTATGTATATAGATATATATATTATTTTGTTCTATGTGTATTTTTATATAAATATATATATATATATATATTAATATCACAATACAGTTAGAACTAAATAACACACATCTATATATTTTTTAATTATTTATTTTTAATTATTTTTTTAATTAAATATATATATTATATATATATTTAATCAGTATCAGTCTACGTGTAATTTGATATTTATATATATATATATAATTATATATATTAATAGTAAAATACACCTACACAGTGTATGTGTGTGCATGTATATGTGTATATATATACTTAGATCATATATATAACATATATATGATCTAAGTATATTATTTTATTTTTTTACACTTATTAACTTTAATTTTATTTTATTTCCAGCCAGCAGGGGGACTACCTGTTATTACAGGCAGTCCCCCTGCTGGCAATGAAGCAGACAGCTAACCCGGCCATGTGATGGTCCTCGCAAGGACCTCACTCTCACATGGCCGAGGAGGGGCTGCAGGAGGCAGGATCTGCCGTGGGGGACTCCCTGGGAGTCCCCCCAACCGTGATCGCCGGCGTGGGATCGCCGGCGACCGGGTAAGTAAAAAAAAAACGGAGGGTGTACTATTAGAGACGCTTAGAGACGCTTAGAATAGGGCGTAATAGTACACCCTCCGGTGTTAATGGGTTAAGGACAGAGCTTCAGAAGCTTGTCTTTCACTTAATGACAACAGCTTTTTTTTCATTTTTTGCTGTTTGTGTTCAACTGCAATTTGTATTTTACTAATTTATTGCACCGACACATATTATATATTGTTTTTTAAAGGACAGAAAGGGCTTTAATTTAATGTAAGACATATATATATATATATATATATATATATATATATATATATATATATATATATATATATATTTATTTATTATAAAAAAATACAGAAAAATGCAAAAAAAAGTGTGTGTTTTTTTACAGTTTTTGCAATAATAATGTTTGCATAATTAGTGCAGGTTAAGGAAAGTAATTAAAAATAAATTCATTTAGTTGTTCTGATTTACAGAATATATAATGTGTCTGGGATTTTAAGGTTTTTTTGGTAGTTACAGGTCACAAAGCACAAGGAGTCAAAAAAACTTTTTAATGTGGAGCGATTTTAGAATATGGTATGTTTGTCTTGTAAGCTTAATAGACATAAAAGAAAACAAAATTGCCACACAAAAGTATATATTTATATAAAGTAGACATCACGGGCTATTTACCTAAGGTTGTTTTGACACTTTCTACGTTTGACTGTTCAAAAAAGCCCACAAAGGCCTACCATTTGTAAAAGTAGACACTCCAGGGGATCTCATAAGGTGCATATTGTGCCTTAACATGACCCCATTTTTTCACCAATATATGCCAAATTATGTGGTAAAAAAAAATTTTGGGCGTTTTTTACACATGGATTGCATTTTTGCTGGGCATTTTGTATATTTCACATGTGCCACTTAGTTCAAACCCCCCAAATTATGCTCAGCTAAGTCTTCTGAGTAAAATGACACCTCCATTGTATGTCTTCGGCACCATTTCGTGATGCTACAGTGCCATATAGGAGACCAAGCCATATCAGTTTTTACCGAACTTTGAATTTTGACACTGGGCCTATGTGCAATTTCCAAGCATCTTAGCAGGGTTTAAATTCAAACTACCCCACAAAGGCCTACCATTTCTTAAAGTAGACACCCCAGGGTATTTCAAAAGGTATATTTTGAACCTTAGCGTGGGATCATTTTTCCGCTAGCTTGTACCAAGTGTAGTGGTAATAAGTGTTTTTTCTGCCTTTTTGACACACAAAGTGAGTTTGCACAGTATATTTTGCAAACCTTATGTGTGCTACCAGTGTATAATACTTCATATGTTGCTCAGCTATGTCGGCTGAGTACAGCAATACCCCCGTATGTACCTTTGCCAGGTATATGTGGACATCGGAGGGGCACATTTGGGACACAGCCATTCCAGTTTTTTTCAAACTTTACATTTTTACGCTGTGCCCATGTCCCATTATAGAGTATTTTACCAGGCTATATAATCCAAATACCCCATAAAGCCATACCATTTCTTAAAGAAGACATCCCAGGGTATTTCAAAAGACATATTTTGAACCTTAGCATGAGATAATTTTTCCGCTAGCTTGTACCAAGTGTAGTGGTAATAAGTGTTTTTTCTGCCTTTTTGACACACAAAGTGAGTTTGCACAGTATATTTTGCAAACCTTATGTGTGCTACGACTGTATAATACTTCATATGTTGCTCAGCTATGTCGGCTGAGTACAGCAATACCCCCGTATGTACCTTTGCCAGGTATATGTGGATGTTGAAGGGGCGCATTTGAGACGCAGCCATTCAGTTTTTTTCTAACTTTGAAGTTTTACGCTGTGTCCATGTTCCAATTTGGAGTAGTTTAGACGGTTGGTTATTGAAACTTCCCCACAAACACATACTATTTATTAAAGAATACACCCTGGGGTAATTCAAAAGGCATATTTTGAACCTTAGCGTGGGATCATTTTTCCTCTAGTTTGTTCCAGGTGTAGTGGTAATGAGCATTTTTAAATGTATTTTTTACTTTTTGAAACTTTTTTGCTTTTAAAAACTAGTTTTTAAACTTTTGTTTTGCTTATTAATTTTTTTTAAACTTTCTTAATCTTTCTTAAAACTTTTTTACAGATTTAACATTTTTCTAAGCTTTTTCTTTTTTTACCGTTAACCCCTAACTAGGAGTAAGCAGCACTAACAGTAAATTCCCCATTTTCCCATAACTCCCACCCATCCCAGCTAGCAAAATATATAATAAAAAAATATTTAAATTAATTAATTAAATAAATTGAACCCCTGAGGATTAAAAAATAAATAAAAGTTAATCCTCAGGGTTAAAAAAATTAAATCACAGTATAATACTGTGATCTGTATTTTGATCACTGTAGGCAGTGATCTACTGGCAGGGAAGGGGTTAATTTTTATTTGGACTGGGTAAAGGTTTTTTTTTTATTTGTTACTTAAACGTTATTACAACTTTTTTTTAGCTTAATTTTTAACTTTTTAAAGTTTATTTTCAAACTTTTTTTAAGGTTGACCCCTAGTTAACCTAACACCAAATCCCCCAATTCCCCACTATCTTCCACCCACCCCAGCTAGCTAAACATATAATTCTAAAATATTTAAATTAAGTAATTAAATAAATGTAATCCCTGAGGGTTAAAAAAAAAAAAAAAATTAACCCTCAGGGGTTAAAAAAATAATCAGATGACAATAAAATGTAATCCCTGCCAATTGATCACTGTAGTCAGTGATCAATTGGCAGGGAAGGGGTTAATTTTTAATTAAAATGGGTAAAGGGGGGTGGGATTTTAAATAAACTTAGTTTTATTTTTTAACATGGGGCAGGATCATCACTGATCCGTCTCCCTGCACTTCACAGAGAACCAGTAAGGGCAGGGAGGCGGAAGGTAAGTATACTGAGCACATGTGCTCGCTCTGACATGCTGTGCTCGCTCTGACATGCTGTCAGAGCGAGCACATGTGCTGGGCAGCACTATCGGGTGCTCCCGGTCTGCCTCTAATACAGAGGCAGACCGAAGCACCATTAACTCCGCGATTGTCGCGATAGCGGCTATCTGTGGTTAATTTTACCGCGTGACGGACAAGGTCCGTCACTTGTCGTTAAGGCTTTCCCCTGAGTGACGGACCTCGTCCATCACTCGGCGTTAAGGGATTAAAGTCAGATTATTAAATTGTTGCAGCATCATTGTGGGGAGGGGCGGAAATGTTGTTGTTTTTTTACTAGTCTTTATGCTCCAACTATTGGCAAGTAGAAGATTAATTTTTAGTATTCTATGTTACCTCTGAAAAGATTGAAATACTGATGATTGTAATTGCCCTAATTTGCCCACATAGTATTTATCATCCCGTGTATCAATACGAATCATTTGACTCCACTGGTAGCCTTTATATGTATTTCCAATTTTCAGAACCATCAAAGAAGCAAACTTGGCCTCCTTTGGGGCAGTACGTGACTATATAACCACTGCATATCCTTTCTCTATAAGCTCAAGATGAGGATGGGTGGGCCTCAGGATGTTTAAATACAAACTTGGCAGCATAGATTTTTCTGTGATACCCTTGACAAAGGAACTTGTGTGGCTACAAAACAAGCATCAGGTTATTGTTTTTAACACACATAGTAGATGTTTTGTCTTTTATTAGTTTCTGCTAGCTATGCTTAGGAGTATGGGGGTTGTTGCT